CTTTTAGGTTTACCAACATGATGTAATATTAAATCAAACCTAAAAATCCATTTAATTTGAGTCCTGTCAGGCCGGCCCTAGGCCCTTCAAAGTTGTTGGTAGATCTAAAGGAGATTGTACATGAAGATTGTCTAGGGTATGGCCAGCTTAAGGCTCACATGTGACTCACAAGGAATTGGTTGAGGACTATTTCCTTTAGTCTCTAATGTTGGTCATTCCAACACACTCTACACAGATATGCTAGTTAATAGTTACAAATGATATTTTTTTGCTGTGATGGTAGCTGTGGTTTCAATTCCTAGCAGTAGTCATTCAGTCAAGCTGTATAACCAGAAAGTGTGTGGTTTTAATTTTTTTTACATTTAAGCATCCTCAAAGACTTTTATAGCTCCTGAACCGACCCCGACATATGTCACTGATACGTCGGTCAAGAATCCAAAAGGTAAAAGTTGTACAATGCCGTTGTGTCTCTTTTGTTTACAGTTTTCATTAGAGGGAATTTTTGGGAGAAACACTGAAATTGACCTATGGTTAACATTGTGCTAAGGTAAAATATAAAGCGGACCTGACCTTCCATAAAATGTTTCTAAGGTAACAATCATTTTGAAGTGCAAGCATTTAGTAGTGCCAAAACAAATGTGTATTAGTGTTGAAATCAATGTCCCTGTGGAGCCTTTTGGAGCTGTGCATGTTGCCTCCTGTTCTGCTCAAGTTGAGATTAAGTCCCTGCCCTTCCTGATACCGAGCCATACCTGTTTCATTCAGCTAATAATTACCAGATCCTCTACCGCCCACTAAAGTTCTAGCAGTTGAATGGCAGAGGCAAGGCTTGGCATTCGTAGAGGGAGACGCTTACTGTTGACTTGGGCAGAAGTCAAGACCCCGTGTAAATCCCGGGTCTAGGATCCAAGGTGTACCTCTGAGACACAAGGATCAATCTGATGACATCATACATTGTCTGCATTGTTGTCGGCATAGACACATTTTGGACCAAGTTGGGTTCACTTTAACATTTTATTTCTTTTCTACCTCTTTCGTTTTTTGCTCCAGAGATTGTGTATCGCCTCAGTCTTCTCATATACGTATTTTCCTTCATGTAATTGCTTTCTGCAAAGTGAAGGACACTTACTGGTCCTATCTGTTCATTAGAAATGTTGACATTGGCAGGGATCCCAACCTGAAATAAGTAATTTCAGGGAGGTGCCCTTCTCATTTCAGGGAGGTGCCCTCTCTCCACGGGGGGGGACGTGCAACAACAAGGAAGAAAGCACCCCCCTGAAATGATGGCTGATGGCAAATAAGCTAATGCTTCCTTTGCCATCTGCTGTTTTTTTTTGTGTTCTGACAGCTGCTGCGGTCGGGACAAAAAAAAAAACCGGCATAGGAACTATTAGCTAGATTGCTATTGGCTATTTCAATTTGCAATAGCCAATAGAAAGCTGGCTATTGCACCCGCCCTCTGCTACTGTCAGTCGGCAGAGTTGCACCTGATGGAGAACTTCAGGTCCACCTCTGCTGATTGACAACAGCAGTGGGCAGGTGCAATAGCTAGTCTGCTATTGGCCATTGCAAATAGAAACAGCCAACAGCAATCTAGCTATTAGTTCCTATTCCGTTCTTTTCTTCTTTCTGACGGCAGCCGGCGGCCCCGATGTCAGACAAAAACACCAAATACAGATAGCACGGACAGGTTTGCTAGATCCAGCAGAGTAAACCTTTCCGGGAGAAAATGTTTCTCTCCCGGGTGTCTGGGAGCCGCTATCTAATAGCGGGAGACTCCCGGAACATCCGGGAGAGTTGAGCTGTCTGCTTGGTTTGATTCCAAGTCATGTCAGCTGTTTTCCATAGTAAGGACCTTATCTCCTACTCTCATGTGTGAAACCACTGTGGCTAGCATGGTCAGGCCTAAGCTACACTGACATTTTTTTTGCAGCCTAATGTTGCATTTTATTGCTAAAAAGTGGTAATCAGTAACTAAACAAAAGAACCAATGGCCCCCTAAGCTACTTAGTTGCATGAACCAGTCCCAAACACAACACATTTGACTGTATAAGATAAATCATTGGCCAATCTCTTCCACTGTTGTGTTCCAGAGACTCAACATAAAGATAGTGGGACAAAGTGAGTGGAAATCCCCTTTTAGACAGTTCGCTAATACCGTCTATGAGACAGTCTTGTCGTCTATGAAAATATCTGATGCATCAGCTAGGTGGAGTCAAAATGTAATGTTTTGGGTTTTAAATTAGTTAAAATTAGTCTCAAGTGTAGTAGCAATATAGGTTTTATTGAGGTAATTAATGTTGTAAAGTTATATTTGAAGAGTGAATGTTGGAGTGTGCATATTAAAATGTTGGATCTTTATTTCCATATCCTTGTTACCCTGCATGGGCTGTTATCACAATGCATGTTCCCATCTCATTCATTCATTCATTCATTCATTTAAAGCATTCATACAAATCACCCATCACTGTAGTGGCTGATATTTTGCTGATATTTTACATATCGTTATTAGAATGTATTTAACTGAAAATTTCCTTTTTTTTGTCATTGTTACGACTGACTTCTTTTTACTTTGGGATGTTCTACAGACATTTACCCACATTATCCTATAACATTTACCCAATAACAATGGTGGTCTATTTCTGTTCCAGTGACATCAGATTTTTGTACTTCAGACAAAGAGAGAATAAAACCTTTCCACACTCAATCCAAAACTAAAGAATTAAATTTTGGCTAGTGACAAAATGTATAGTGGAAATGCAGCCAAAACTTGTGTTGCTAGCTCTGGGTGGAGTGTGAAAGGGCGAGTACCTCCCTCAAGTATTTTCCTGTCTATGCCCTGATAGAAAGATTCCTCTTACTTCCTGCCTGACCACTCATTAATAAAAATCTGACAGAGTATCTAAACCTCCCCACTCTATCCCCCCAAAAAATTAGGTTGGGGTATTTAGGATTTTTGTTTCCCACGTGTTACACCTCTTCCTATCATGTGATAATTAGGTGTGCATGTTCTATTCAGGGAACACTAACATTGCATGTGCTGAATTGTATATGATATTTTCTCCTCTTCCAGTGAAGAGAGAGAAGTGTTTTTTAGTCGTAATCAGGCATTAAAATAGCCCTTCAGTTGTAACTATGTCCTGAGGTTAATTACAGTGCATTGGAGTCCTTCTTTAATCACATTTCTCTTGTATATAAGTATCGTCACCAGCCCTCCCAGAATTTCTTGTCAATCCTGCCACCTCCTCAGCCTAGATGCTGGCCTCCAGCCATGCTGCGGGGAGATTGACACTTACGTGTAAAGTTCCCCACTGGTGTTTGATTAAATCTCGTAACATCGTTCAGAGCCGGCGGCAAGGTCATGGATCTGCCACAGTCCTCCACATATAAAGCAATGCTTGATTCAAACATCCAACAGTTTCTCACATTGTCGTGCACAGTAGATTTTAACGACTTTGAGAAATCTTAAATTGAACTTGGCTCAGTGTGAAAGATTGGAACATAGAGTAGTCTTTGCCTTTATATGGGATAACTTAAATGGGTTTTTAGGAGTCCCGTTCACCAACTTAAAAAAATTGGAGGTAAAAGCACAAACAAAGCAAGTATTTGAAATACCTGCAGTGTTTTTTTTTTTGCATAAAATATTTTTGAATCACTTGCAGTGTGCCTTTGAACTTAATAGAACAATTTGCTACTTCAGGGGAGTCCACTATCACTTGCATAGCTTAGCCTTTCCTGTCTGGCCCAGCTTCTCTATCCCTCCCCTCAACTTCCTGCATAATCTTTAACATAGCTTCTAGGGAGGATCGAAGGGGAATGCTATAGAGCACGGGTGCCCATTAGGTAGATCGTGATCTACCAGTAGCTCTCAAAGTTGATGCTGGTAGATCATGAAGGGTGTGAATGGCGGCCCCTTTATTCCATTTTGGTATATTTATTTCGCTGTGCACACCTGATTACCTATTAGCTTGAGTCTGCTAAGCCAAGCTCCCTGACACCTTTCTGGTGGATACTGGTGGTTGAAGTGCTATGTATTACATCAAAGAATATTAGTTTACACAGCCTGTTGCACTGCACTGTTTGCAAAATACAGCAAGGTGAGAGAGTGGAAAGAGACAGACAGGAGAGAGAGCAAGGAGGGACAGACAGGAGAGAGCGAGAGGAGAGACAGCCATTAAAGAGGGAGAGGAGAGACAGACAGGAGAGAGAGCAAGGAGAGAGAGGAGAGACAGACAGGAGAGAGAGCAAGGAGAGAGAGGAGAGACAGCCAGGGGAGAGAGCAAGGAGAGACAGACAAGAGAGCGAAGAGAGACAGCCAGGAGAGAAAATGAGGAATGACAGCCAGGAGAGAGAGGAGAGACAGCCAGGAGAGCGAGGGAGGTTTTTTCTTTTCTTTGGTAGATCTCATGTAGCTCGTCTCAACACAAAAAACTGTGGGCACCCCTGCTATAGAGTCTCAGTTGAGTGACAGCTCCTAGTCTGCTGGGACTGCTGACACAAAGACAAACACCTCAGTGTGGAGAAGACCTGTGGAGCGAAGAGCGACCCATGGCAAAAAAATGATGTGACTACATTAAGCCAAATATTGGACATGGCTTCATAGACTTTGAGCCTACTTACGGTATACGTCACACCCATGTGCTGCAGTCCGGTACCTATGAAGTACTCTTTAATTACAGACACACATAAAGCTCAAGACTAAAAATGAAAACTACCTATGCTTTTCTGCACACAGAGTATAGACAGAGAGCTAACACTTTGCCTAAGTCTACTTCAAAGAAAACGAATGCAGTCACCACATTTACGGACTGGTAAGCTGCAATATAATCACAAATTCATCCCACACGTTCCAGATAAGGTGTTTGCCTATGACTTGCACTGTTAAATTGGCTGCTGTCACCCTTGCTAAATGACACATTCACTTGAAGCACTAAACATCCCGAGGTAGATAGGAGTCAGCTGGCTTCTGTCGCTCACATACCGTGTCCTTCATTCTACAGACTGTGAATGCTATGGTCACTCCAGCCGCTGCAGTTTCATCGACTTCCTGAATGTGGTGACTTGTGTCAGCTGCAAGCACAATACCCGAGGACAGCATTGCCAGCACTGTCGGCTGGGCTTCTACCGTAATGTGACTGCCGAGCTGGACGACGAGAATGTCTGCATACGTGAGTCATTTTGGTATTATTATTATAAAGGATTTATATAGCGCCAACAGTTTGTGCAGCACTTTGCTATATAAGGAATTCATTACAATCACAATACAATTCAAGACAATATGGTAAGGAGGGTCCAGTTTGGTAGTTTCTTCCTGAGAGAATGAGAGTTAAAAGTATATATAAAGCAATGTTATTTTAGTTCTAAATGGAATTAGGAAGGGCTAGAAGACCTGTCACAGTTTATTTTGCTGTGTCCCTACCGGGGAGATTCATCCTCACTTAATGCCTTGGAGACACAACAAGAAGTCTCGCTGATGTTCCATCATTAATTAGAGGGAAAAAATGCCCAGTGTGTGTATATTTGTATGTACTGTGTATATACACTGAGTGCCAGATTATTATGACCACCCCATCAGTACTTCGTTGGGCCACGAGATAACTCCACGAGATGACTTTGTTGGGCCGCCTCGTGACTCCACGAGATGTTGAAAGGTGATGCGAGGAATCTGACACTGCACTGTTGCCCTTCTGTTGTCTTGTACCATTCTTGCCACTCTCGGTTCTGCCCTAACATTGACTAGTCGCTGACGGCCACAATTCACACATTCAGACCCAGATTTTCCGGTCTTTAAACACTTTAACAACAGCTGCTCTTGAACAGGTAGGCGCTCAGAGGTCTTCCACAAGAGTCCAGTCATCAAGTAGCAGGTCTATTACACTGACATCTCAGCCTTGAGAAAGACAGGCTACTATTTGATGTCTTCTCCAGGACAGTCCCACAGAAACAAGGGCCTTTAGGTGTGTGTGTGTGAGGGGGGTGCTTGTTCTGACCTGATTCAGGAACCTGCTGTGCTGCAGCCTCAGGTATGCCGGGTGCTGGCCAAAGGAACCTGCTGTGCTGCAGCCTCGGGTATGCCGGGTGCCGGCCAAAGGAATCTGCTGTGCTGCAGCCTCGGGTATGCCGGGTGCCGGCCAAAGGAACCTGCTGTTCTGCAGCCTCGGCTGTCCTAAGGAACCTGTCTCTGCTCTGTGCCTGCTCAATACAAGAACCATTGTTCCACTTCTGGTGACTAGTGATGGGCTCGGGCCTGTTCGCTGCTCCACGTGCCGAGCCTGCCAGAAAGCTGACTGCGCGTAGCGCCAATCACAGGTACTGAGACATTTTCCCGGTCCGCAGCTGCAGAGATCGGGAAATGTCTCAGTGCCTGTGATTGGCGCTGCGTGCTGTCAGCTTCCTGGCGGGCTCGGCGCGGGGAGCTGCGAACACGCCCAAGCCCATCACTACTGGTTATGTCATTTCCAGTGATGTAGTGTAAACAGATTTTTTAAACAGAGCAAAGCATGCTGCAGTCCCTGCCTGAGAACTGCCCCTCTTTGACATGTTTTACTCTTACAGTTTTAGTCGTAATTACTTTCTACAACTAAGCCCGTGAGGACGAAACACTCCAGTGAGTGGCTGTTCTCAGGCAGGAACTGCAGCTTGTACATGTTTTGTTTAATAAAGCTGTTTTTACTATGAGTAATGTCACAAGAGGTGCAAGCTTGGTTCTTGTATTGAGGATTTCCATTTAAATGTTTAACCACAGACAAGCTCTATTAGATCTGCTTTTCTGATGGGCTTTCATAAGTCATTCACTTACAATTTATGTCTTGCATGCCTGCTGCTGGTGTAATTCACTCACTTCTGTATGAAGACTAAACACATTAGGGTCGGTACATCAGCTGCAGAAAGTGTGCCTGCTCAGTAATGGCTCACAAATCTTTGGTAATTGGATCACAATGCATTCTGTGCTGGTGAAGTCTCGTCCAGATAAGAGCACTTGAGTTGATCGGAATATTCCAGCAATATATTATCTTGGCTCTTAACAAACTCTTATCTGCACAAGAGGTTACTCATTGTTACAAGAGTAATTTAATTAACTTTAAGTAATGTTAGGGGTTCCCTGCTGTCAGCTCCAGACACTTGTCAGTGAACTATGTGTAGCGCACATGAAGTGGAGCTTTTGGAGTAGCTAGGCACTGACAGCTGCTAAGAAATATACTGTGTACACTGTATTGATGGAATAGCAGCCAGGTGGTCCTTGTCATAAGTAGTGGCCCGTGCTCATTTAGGGCAAAGTGACAGGTTCTCTTAAGCCCCCCAACACACCTACTAATACTTACCTTATCTGTGCCCCCCACCAACCTGTTCACCTGCAGTATTCGTGCCTAACCCCTATTAAGGAGTTTGCCTTGTATTGGAACTCACACAGGATTAATTACCTGTTTCCTTCTCCCAACAAACAGTGTTCAGGACTGGTACTTGGCTTCTCAGGCCCTAGCATTGCACCCTGAAAAAAAAAGAAGGTCACACGTTCCCTCAAAGCTGGGAGTACTGAATATTTACAAGGGTTTTGACAAACAAAAGCAGCAGGGGAGAATGGTAAAGGTGGAGGGTGAAGGGTGACCTGTCAAAAAGAACCTTACTTCTTACCTGCCTGGTGCAAGGGCAAGAATTTCACTAAGCACTATTTTACATTATAGGGAGGTCATACGGGGATGTCGTTGTGTTCTCTTGTTCATGTGTATGTGTGGGGGTAGTGTGGACCATATACACAGAACACAATAGTGAGAGGCTGCTCATTTGATCTCTCAAGTGTGTCTGCAGTTGACAGGCTGCCATGTAGGCAGTGTTGGGTCCTCCATGCCAGGGGAACATAGGATCAATAGACATGCCCCCAGCCCCACGTGTTTGCTTTCATTCTGGTTGTGAAGGAGACAGGAGAGACAAGGGATCTCTGATAAAGTGACTATAAGTCAGTCGGAGAGGGGGTCACTGTCACTTTGGTCTGCATGAGCAAGATGACAGTGTCTCTTGAACAAATAAACACATCACATTTGACACTTTTGCAGATTTGCAGCTCTCTGCATTGATCACATAACATTTTTGAGCTGTCAAAGTAGGACCGTGCTAGAAGACTTCCCTCTTCCAAGCGATGTGATCACATCTGAACAGGTATCCCAGCTTCTGTCACTGACTCGAGGTCCCCGTTTGATTGGGGTTTAAATGGGGAGCATTTCCCAGCAGTGCCCCCAGCCTAATATATCTTATTTTCACTGGCCTGGGTGGACTGTGAAGTAAATGCCCACCTGCTTCCAAGCCCAGTCCCCCCCGCCATACACCTAGAACTAAACTTCTACTTGCTACTCTTTTATCCTGTCAGTTGTAAATATACTGATGCATAGTGGGTGAACTGTCTCTTGTGTGCCTTGTGTGGATAGGGCTTTCCAATTATGTGTGATAATAGTGCTAGAAAGGGCAACACAGAACAGTTGGCTTGGGGATAGTGATGACAGTGCTGGGATATGGACACCCAAGGTGCCAAAGTGTGCCCCCAAATCCCCCCCTCGCATTCCACCACCCAAACGGAAATGGATGGGGCTTGCACATCTGCATGTACAATGGCCGACAAAGGGTGCAAAAATGTAGTAAAAAGAACCATTATCGTGACCAAATTTTTCTTCCATCTGGTAAAAGTAGCTTTTAATTTTCTAAAAAAAAATAGTTTTTCTGCAATTTAACCCTTTTATAAATGTGCTTAAATGTTTCTGGTACAAAGAATGGTCTTGTATGCGCCCCACCTGTAGATTTCTCCAAGCACCCTGTAGTGCGTGGAACCTGCTTGGTCCCTCCCACAGCTCTGCCCTCTGCGCAGGCTATGTACAACAAGTAGATTTGTATTCTTTGTGGCTATTGAGGAATTTATTTGAATGAAAGCTTATGTGCCTAAATTTCAGCTTTAGGGAATAAATGGGAAATATTTATTGAGTGTGTATTCCAATATCAGTATGTTGTTTACTGAGACTGATCTGCAGCTTGTACTTGTCTGTGTTTGCAGAATGTAACTGTAACCAGCACGGATCGGAACATGAACGCTGCAATGAAACTGGTGATTGTGTGTGCCGGCCTGGAGCCACCGGAACCAAATGTGATGAGTGTTTGCCCGACTACCACTGGAGGCAAGGCTGCCATCGTAAGTAGCATAAGCCGTGAGCCTAGCGCAGAGGAGTCATGTACAACATGGATGGTCTGGTAGTGCCACTTTGCTATTAAGGCAGATTCACAAGGCTTGCATAGTAATTGGCATTTACCAGTCATATAAAGTATAAAGAGTTTTAAAAGGGGGTGTTGTGTCTGATGGACAATAAGCTGGTCCTTGGTTTGAAAAGTATGAGGATCCTTGCTCCACATTGTCCAATACAAAGTATAAAAAAATGTTTGAAGTTTCTATTTTAAATAAACCTATAAAAATCCAGCTAATGAAAATTATTCCAAATAATATTAAGAGATGCCGCCGTGCATCTGTCTAGTCTCAGTCTATAATTTCCAATGTACTCTGGAGACACAGATCTGCGTGGAAGACCTTTACCCGCGAGTGATTAAGTAACGCAGACACATTAAATCTGCCCAGGATGCAGCCTGCCCTTTGCTCTGCTGTGCCAGAAGATTTGTGTTATTTTGACCTTAATAAAAAAGAGTTTAAATTATGTTTATATCAGCTGCACACTAAGATATATTCCAGAAATGTACAAGACCTGGATAATAAATGAAAGATAGATGTAGGATTTGCTATTTCATTTAAAGGATTATTTGATTTATTTTATTGGAAACCTATATTTTTTAAAACTCTGTTTACTCCTTTGTACTCCTAACTAATTGTACAGGAATACACAAAGTTCCAATATGGAATAAGTATACAAAGTTCCATTGTGGAAACCTATATCTAAAAGGAGAGCAACGTCTTTGCTACATAGCTGCAGACCTGTAAATGTAACTTCTATATGGGAAGATATTTGAGAGTTCCATGTAGGACTACATAGAACAGGGTTTTTTTGAGACAAAGGAGTGCCTCTGTGTATAGTATATTTGGACTTTGCAAAAGCGTTTGACACATTTCCCCACAGATGGCTATGTGGAAGATTTACAGGTTTGGAAAATTCAGTCTGTAAATGGATAGAAAATTGGCTTAAAGACCTTATTCAGAGTAGTCGATGTGTCATACTATGAATGGTCTAAGGTTGTTAGTGGTGTTCCCCAAGCAGGGCCAGCGCAAGGATTTTTGCCTACATAGTCGAAGGTGCATTCCCCTCCCCCCTTCCCCCCCTCCCCCGGCACCCTCAGGCAGTCTTATGGTAATGCTAGCCCGGCAAAGACATCCTATAAAGCAGCACTCCAAAACTAATAGGAGATCTGAGATACCCTTGTTACAGGTCAAACCAATTATCTCAGAAGCATTTAGAAACAAGGAAGACCACCATCAGCTACTAGTGCTGTATATGTGAAGCCACTAGCAATGACACCCCAAATAGTTTACTGTGGAGCAGCCCAATACAAAGACACCCTCCAAAGTGTACCACTCCAGAAAACATAACGAAGATGTCCTGTTACAGCTCACACTAAATAATCCAGAATGTGGGAAAAGAATGACCATCATCTTCTGAAGCACTATATGTAAAGCCACAGGCATTGACACCCCACATCTATTACCATGGAGCACCCCAATACAAGGACACCCCCCAATAGATTTTCACTAAAGATAGCATAACAGCAGATAACAATTGACCTTAAACTGATGTTTAAATGCTTTAGGACCGCCTAACGTAGATAAATGGTGGCATCCTGAAGCAGAACACATTTTATATACAATATATGTCAAAAATCATGTGTCCTGATGAGTCCTGTGACATCCATTGTGGCTGCTGATGGGTTGATGGTGGCCAAAATTCTGTGTAATGAAATGTTAGGAGGCCTTACACTGACCGCCTATGTAACGGAGGTATTCACACTGACCAGCAATGTAAAGGAGGTATATACACTGACCACCAATGTAACAGAGGTATTCACACTGACCAGCAATGTAAAGGAGGTATTCACACTGACCGCCAATGTAACGGAGGTATGTACACTGACCACCAATGTAACGGAGGTATGTACACTGACCACCAATGTAACAGAGGTATTCACACTGACCAGCAATGTAACGGAGGTATGTACACTGACCACCAATGTAATGGAAGTATATACACCTACCGCCAATGTAACTAAAGTATTCGCACTGACTACCAATGTAACAAAAGTATTCACACAGAAGTGTGCATACAGTCTATACAGTATGTCTCACTTTTGTCTCTGAAATAATATACTTTATTATTTATTTTATGATAAACCTGCCTGATCTCTCCCTCTTCCATTGCCGCCTAGTAAAACTGTTTACCTTTGGTGCAGTGCTTCTGTACAGTATTTCTGGCTGCTGTCTCTAAAATAACATACTCTATTGTTTATTTTTTGGGAAAAATAACTCATCTCTTCCTCTTACATTGCTGCCCAATGAGGCTGCTTACATGTGCTTCAGCCACTGGGCAATACGTCTTGCTATTGTTTCTGCAATATAGCACTATCATTTTTATTTTAGGATAAAAACTGCATTGTCTCTGGAATGTGGGTTTGGGGCTTTGAAATGTTTTTGTGCACTCTGTGTTGCCATTTTATTAAATAATCCAGTGATGTATGTGTTTTAAACATAATTTAATGTATTTATACGTGTAGCTAGCATCAGCATCTAAATCTGTTGTAATATTCTCTTGCATTCCCTTAACTGCAGTACTCAGACTAGGAGAGGGAGGGAAGGAACCTTGTGTTGTTCACATTACTGTACAAAGACTAGAGAAATCTCTTGCCCTTCACAAACTGCTGGTGCCATGCTGCATTATGCAGACTTTGGTGTTTATTTGTTGTCCTTTGTGCATCTATTGCACTGTATCATTGCTGGGTTAACAGGAAATTATCTGACTAGCAGTTTGGCAAAGAGGATTCTAAATTTAGTACTACTTACATTACTGTAAAGCGCATGTTTAATAGAAATTAATCAGGCTACTTGAACATGATGGTAATATGCAGAGCATAAAAATGGTTTAAAATCTAGTGTGGTGAAGACAAAGCAGGACCAGGCCCTTATACAAGGTAGATTAAGATGTGCCAGTCTGGAGAAGAGAAGGTCAGGGAATTGGAAAGGGGGGGAAGGCAGGCCCACAGTGCCGATCATCTAGCACAGGGTTAGGCATGCTGGCTGTATAACAAGTAAGATGGTAAAATGGGAGCAGTCAAGGTTATCAGAAAGGTCATTCATTATCCAAAGTTCCTAAGGGTTTATGAACTGCTTCATTTAAGATAGTTGCAAGTTTTTCATCTATTGGATAATAGCCAGGCCTTGCATTTCAGCCATGAGTATAAAAGTTAGGAGAAGAAATTGTCTATTGGTACATTCAGGGGGTTTTACCTTCTTTAGTGTTGAATCAGTTTTTATTAGCATATTTTACAGTATTTAAACAATCCGTATCAAAATACAACATGTGAGAAACAAGACATTGGGAGACAATAAGAGAAGTATATGAGCTGGCAGTGATAACCAGAGACATTATACATGGTCATAGAGGCTGAGCAAAATAGCGCATAGGGCTAAGACACAGAAAAAGGTTAAAAAGAGCCACACTATATGGGGCAGAGTCCTGCCTTGTCAGACCAGACCTTTGCAGATCTGTTTAAGCAGCCCAATACGGGTTCACCAAAAGCTACCACTGTCACCACTGCTCAATAGGGTCTCTAAACGAACCGTTTGAACATCAGTTGATATTAGGGAAAGAGGATAGAGGGGGAAGACAGAAAGAGGAGGACAGAGAAAGGAAGAATAGCGTGAAAACAGTTTTACCTTCTTTAAAGGTCCTTACAGATTCCTTTTTCCAGGGCTGTATTAGCCAGTTGGTATATGGCAGTCCATTAACTTGTAATATGGGGCAATTCCATCGATTATATGCCGCAGTGTGCCCAGGTAATCACAGATTATAATAACACTGTTGGGTAAAACACACCGCTTTCACCAGATTTTAAAGCACTGGTTATTTTTCTGTACAATCATTCTGATATTTGTTTTTTTTCCCTTTCTCCAGCCAATGTTTGTGATGAAGAACTGCTCATATGCCAGAATGGCGGTACCTGCCACCAAGGCCAGCGATGCATCTGCCCCAGTGGCTTTAAAGGGGCCCTATGCCAGGATGTCAAATGTGACTCGACCCACAGGAACTGTGACTCTGCCTCCAGCACCATGGTCATCTCAGTTCTGCTCCTCCTCTGTACAATCTTACTTAGCTTGGAAGGCATTTAAAGCCCATGAATATTATTGGCTGAACACACTGCAGGAGGTGTCTACATGTCATGTTACTCCCCTGTTAGGAAGAACCAAAAAAAAGTGTGGGGGGGGGGAGGTAATGATGGTAACTCAACTTCTGCAGTGCCTTATCGCCTTGTGACGTGGGACTTACAAAGAAAAAGCCCATGGCATTCGTACAATGTGGAGATTATTACTGCTGCAGCCCTCAGGTGGAAGAAGATTCGTAGTGTGGCCCATATAACCTTGAAGGGACACCGTTAGTTGCAATACCTACCTGCACTTGGCACCAGCTGAGTGTTGATTCAAAACAAAATGGATGTCACCTGAAGCTCCCCTCCTTTAAATCAGGGCGGAGACTTAGAAAGGTGACAGATCTCGCAAAGAGGGAAGGTCGACTCTAGAGAGGCCCTTTCCTGATACGATGCAGAAAATGGACCCTGTGCCAAAAACAGTAAATATACAAGTACAGAGATGGTTAGACAAGATTACCGCACTGGAATCTGTTACCTTTGCGGAAGGAAGCATCTGAATCATAATTATTTGGCTTTGACTGTTTGCTGTTTCTTTTTGTGATGAGAATTTCTGCCGAAACTTACCCAGTGTTTTGGGGGGGGCAGGGGTTAGAGAGAGTTGGAGCCAATTTCTTATTGTGCAATCCCACTTATTGACCCTCAAACAAATGTTATTTTTGAAAAAAAGAATATACATACAGTTTTATGTTTTACTTTTACATTTTAGTGTAAGATCTATTCATGTTCACTGTGACACGCAATTACTCTATCTTTGTGCAGGAGAGAATGGTTTGGGTGGGCGGGGGTTGAAGAGTTACAGGCACCTCTTTTAGGGTTACGGGTTCAATGGGACTGCTCCTTTCAAGTGAAGCAGTTCAAATAGAAAAACAAGAATATATTTAAAAAAAAGAATAATCGCAGGGCAGAGTATGATAAAAGAAACAGATTCTATTGATATATTGTATATCCATTTTCTTTTTGTAGAAGATTATTTTTGTTTCGATGTTATATTAAAAACACAGAGAGAACGCTTTATCCTGAAGACTCGGACATGTTCAGAAATATCCAAAGTAAACAAATTGTGTATTAACACGGCTTGTCGTCTGTTGCTTTTCGGTAGCTTTCATTTAGTGGCCTTATTTGAAGAATTTCTATCCTTGACATACAATACACGCATAAAGGGAACCTAAAATGCATTTTGATGAGTTTAAACTTAACAAGTGTAATTAATTTAATCCGGGACACACCATGTCCGGGAACTATGCTTTCCACTTCCAGTAATTTGGATCGTCCCAGTTCCTCCTGTGCTCTGAACAGCCATATCTTAGGGTCATGTCTGCTATGCTACAGCAAAAAGTTTCCCAGCACACTCACCAGCCAGCATGCAAAAAAACTTGTCTAACAGCTAAGGTTAAGAACAGAGGTTTTAGATACACGTCTTCTGCAGAATATGTAAAAGCCGCACAGCCTCGTCAAGGCACCTCTATGTAGTGCGGTTCTAACTCTAACCTGTGAGAGTCTCCATCTTGGAGCACATGTAGCAAAAGATCAAATTGGGTGCAGGTTTGCCAGGATGCAGCCCAACCTCCCTTAAAGGCTCAGGGGCACACAAGGGACCCCGCACATCACAACGGCAGTTGAGACCCCCAATGTGTCACTGCACCAAATCAGTCAAGCAAAACAAATGGCAAATGCACTCATCAACCTATCACCAGCTTTAAAGCAAAGTGCACATGGAAGGCCTTTTAACAATACAACAGCAAAACATTTCCCAGCGCACTCACCAGCCAGCATTCTGCTGCCCCCCCCCCCCCACCATTTACACCATATCCAGTGCGTTTCGGTGCAGTCCAAGCACTGAATGCACTGGATCGCATATATCATGCCGGGTCGCATTCTGGAGTGGGCGGGGGCATGGCGGAGCCATTCATGTCAATGGCACTGCAGGCTTGCCGAGGCCCGCAATGCGATCACCCGCACTGGAACGCGAGGTACAAGAATGCCCTCTGTTCCAGTGCAGTGCAATTAGAACAAATAGTGCATGCAGCCAGAACGCACTGCTTATGGTGTGACTAGGCCCTGACAGAAGATAATTTATTAAATAAAAAAGTATAGGTGGTTTTATACAGAGAGTGCTATTATAAAATTGTCTCCCTATTTCAAGGAAAAATTGACTCCAATCTTAGCTCCCTTGCAGAGCTATAGCATTTCTTACTGTCACACTAGCTGCCCCATGGTATGCTGTGGCTCCACCCCCTAGCTGCTACATCAGTATTGTGTCCTGTAGTGACGTGGAGTAGATGCGAGCAAAGCACACAGTGGGGGAACCCATCATCCGACACATTCAGAAGTGTTGGATACCTGCAGCGGCCATAGCTCTGCAAGGGAGCATAACTGGAGTCACCGTCTATTTCACAGGTATTACTTATCTGCTTTTACAGGTTGCATTTGGTTTATTTGTTTAAAACAAATACTTTTCAGAGACTTCTTCAAAAAAGTGTGAAAAAAATACCAATACAGATAACGTGTTTCCCCGAAAGTAAGACCTACCCCGAAAATAAGACCTAGCACTATCTTCAGGGATTTCTGTAATATAAGACCTACCCCGAAAATAAGACCTAGTTCGGTGGTAGGTCTTATATTACAGAGATCCGCTAGGTCTTACTTTCGGGGAAGCGGCACATAACTGTGTAAAAACCGGCCGCAGCTCCCGCCCCGCCCACACGCCCGCCCACACGCCAGCCTGCCGCAGCTCCAGCCCCGCCCACACGCCCACCGGCCGCAGCTCACGCCCGCACGCAGCTCCTGCCCCGCCCACACGCCAGCCGCAGCTCCCGCACGCACACACGCACAATGGAAGCGACATCCGCCGGGACCGGCAACAGCACGCCGCCTTCCGGGACCTCGTCCACCCCTCCCCCAGCCAGGTAAGACATCCCCCGAAAATAAGACCTAGTGTCTTATTTCGTGCAAAAAAAATATAAAACACTGTCTTATTTTCGGGGAAACACGGTAGGTATATTCAGAAACACATGAAACATTTATTTTGCATTTTGTGTTGTTTGCATTGGCAGACCATTTATAAGTGGCAGACAGATACAACAGACACAAATTACTGGTGCTTTGTATTTATTATTACATCCTTATTTTAATGCAAAAAAAATCCAAATCCCTGCAAGACTTCACCCTATATAAACCCGCCCTCCAAAAATACAGTACCTGTCTCCACACAGCCAAACAGATCTATTTCATCACACTCATTAAAGGAGAACTATGAGGTGAGTGCTTTTCACTCATAGTTCTAGCCGACCTGTGACAATGAGACTGTCACAGGTCGGCTCAGTAGTTCGGGAAGTGAGCGAACACATACCGGCATTCGCTCACCTCTCGATCCTGTCACGGCTCTCTGTCGTGAAATGGGAGGGCCTGTATTCCCCCCTCCCCGCTCCGATCCGCCAGCGCTGACTGGCGGAACGGACGTGGGAGGGTACAGCTGGCTCTGCCTCTAGATAGGCAGAGCCAGCTGTCACTCACGCAGCTGGGCGGATCCAGACATAATTGTCTGGATCCGCTTCAGCTGCGGCGTCTCAGTATACAGCGAGCAGCAGATCGCGGAATGCTGGTGCGTCTCAGTATGCTGCGAGCTACAGCGGTATACTGAGCCTAGGGTGACGGGAGGACGCTAGTTCGTGTCCTCCCGTTACCCTAAGGAGAACTATGGGGAAAAGCCTTAACCCCATAGTTCTCCTTTAACACCCTTTCATCCAGTCCCCGGAAAAATCTTTTCTACCTTTAACTCCATACTTCCTCCCCCGCCAACTCCTCCAACCAACTGCAAAAAGTTTCCCAGCACACTCACCAGCCAGCATGCAATAAAAACCTGTCTAACCGCTAAGGTTAAAAGCAGAGGTTTTAGATATACGTCTTCTGCAGAATATGTGAAAGCCGCACAGCCTCGTCAAGGCCCCTCTGTGTAGTGCGGTCCTAACTCTAACCTATGAGAGTCTGCTATGAGAGCACATGTAGCAAAATATAAAGTTGGGTGCAGGTTTGCAAGGAGGCACCTTACCAACCAATCAGCATTCACCACCCCCTCTGCCAATCGCTGCACTGGCTCCCAATTGCCCAACATATAAAATTCTGCCCCAACTACATCTCCAACCTCATCTCAAAATATCCCCCAAACTGCCCTTTCCCTCCTCCCAACACTTCATGCTCTCCAGCTCTCTTGTCACCTCCTTGCAAGCTCGCCTCCAGGATTTTTTTAGAGTGTCTCCATCCTCTGGAACTCCCACCCCAATCTGTCCGCTTATCTCCTATGCTGCCCACTTTTAGGCGGTCCTTGAAAACCCTGATGAAGTCACGCCCTTTGACGTAACGTACGTAGGGTGGAGTAGAGGAGCTGAGCGATTTGCACACAGTGTCTGTGGCTGCTTACAAAATACCTCAATTTTATCTATGATATGTGAGTAGTATTCCCTTTTTTTAATAAAGTCTAGTATCCTTTTAAAACCATCTGCACTACGAGTTTCCACTTTTTATTTTATCTGATGCATGGGCCATTCGGATGAACTGTCTGTTTCCAATTCCTGAGACTGCAAGAGAGTCTGTACCTGAGAGGAGGTAATCACTGGGAGGTATTCGGCATCAGGTGCTTCCTCTACCTGTTTTGAATTAGAGGAACAGCGCATACAGACCCTGGTGGGTCTCTGCTAAAGGTGAGGTGCATTCCAGAAGATTTCTCTGTTGATGGTCACAGGAGACTAAGTTTATTCTACATCCAATGTTTTATCTTCTATTTACTTAATGGACTATTGAAGATCCAGGATCATGGACATTTTTTAACCATTTATTATTTTCACTGGAGTGCAAGTTACACACATGCGTTTTTCTTGTCGGTATTCTTTGCACATTGCATCACATTGATTCACAGTTAATATTTAGTGCATTTGATTTTTCATTATGGATATTTTGTAGCAATTACATTTACACTAAGGTGCATGTTATATACATGCGTTTCTTTTTTGTTTTGCACTTTTTACACATTGTATCACATTACTCCAAGGTCAGTATCTACTATATCTGACACTTTGCAGTCTCATTCACACAGCGCGGTTTTTACCATTAATTTCATATGGTCCTTGAAAACTCTTCTCTTCAGGGAGGCATATTCCACCTCGATATAACAGTACTTTCAGTTCTTCCATTAAATCATCCCAAACAGTTGTTGCCTTTTGTATTATTTGCCCCTCCTACTAGATTGTAAGCTCTCACAAGCAGGGCCCTCCTACCTCCTGTACTGAATTCCTATTGTTAACTGTATTGTCTCCCTCCGTTTTGTAAAGCACTGCGCAAACTAGTGGCCCTATATAAATACTGTATTATAATAATGCAAGCAGTGTAAGTACCTGAGTTTGATTTGGTATCAGTCTCTTGCAATCTCTGAACAGCAGAACTCAAACTGGGGGAGGGACTTGCAGCAAAGGAGCCAATCAGTTGTGTTTCAGGGCAAGCAGCATACTAATAGGAAAGCACAGCACCAGGGAAATTAACTCATCAGTCTGCTGCCTCTCCTTTGTTGTTGAGTCATAGGCTGGTGGAGGGACATATAACAGAGGGTAGAGCAGGTCACAAAAAACGTTTAGATGTGTGGACCAATCAAGTTACTGCCAGACCGTATGTAGACCGTATGCCAGACCGTATTACATACGGTCTGGCAGTAACTTGATTGGTCCACACATCTAAACGTGTTTTGTGACCTGCTCTACCCTCTGTTATATGTTTCATACAGTTACAGACCCTTTTTCCGCAGACTGTGGAATGTCCTGAAAGGGGACGTCGCGGGTCCTAAAGAAGTGAATTATTGATTCTTCCTCCGGGGGAACCCTTTTATTTACCTGGGGGAGGGACATAACCTTATAGCGTTACTGAACTACAGCTCTTATTCTGACTCCGATTGTTGTATTAGCGATTTATCGCTTGCTGAGACCTCTATGTCTGGCCTGTATAAGCAGATA